TATTATATATATTATATATATATATATGTATAATATAATAATATAATCTATTTTTCTTATGAAATGACACACTGTAAAACTATACACGGCATATCTTAATTTATGCATTATTCGTTTATATACACTCTTTTATATATTTTATTATTATTATTATTCTAATAATATCAAAACGTTAGTTTTATTTCTTCTTTTTCTTTTTCTTTTCTTCTCTATTTGGTGTATCAATTGCACGCAACATCATGACTTTCACAATGATATTTGAAAAGTGCATTAATTTATATATAATTACAATTTTTCTTTCTTCGTTTTCATATTTATAATCTAAGAATTAACATGATCTGATTTTAATTTAAATAATCTTAAATATTTTTAAATATTATCGAAAATAATCATTAATTAGTGTTCTCCATTTGTTTCAAATGTGTTATTATAAATATACTAAGGAAATAGATATTACAAATATTAAAATAGTAATATCGAGACTTTGAATACGAGCATTTCATAATCGATCGAAAATATTTACAACAAAATATCATATTAATTCATCAAATGTTAAGTATAAGCGTATTGCAAAAATATTGTTTTATTCATTTCTCTATATGCAAATTATAATTGTTTTCAATTAACTAGCAAAATCAATTTCAACAGATTCAATTTAGTTCGTTATTGTAGCACCCCTTTTTTAAACAGATAGAGAATTATTAACATTGTTTAATAATAAAAAGAAAAATTATTATAAATTATTCGTTTTTTGCAATATCACTCTTATACAACATTATTATTAATTCTAAATATGAATACATACAAGATTATCTTAAAAACGATTCTGTAGGCAACTTTTCAGGGGAGAAATTCGAAAAGCAAAAATTTACAAACACATTCTTCCTAAAATTAATTATAATAATAAATCGCGAATTAAATATTTATATTATATGTTTCTCTTTTTGTGTTAACATGATGTAGTTGTACTTGTTTTTCGGATTGTTAGAATAAATGCATATATTTTCAATGATATTCTACAAAATCCCCTGAAAAAAAAAACATTTTATGCATAATTTATAAATATAATTTTAGCGAATGATAAATGAGATAGGAGATAAAATTCATTACATTTCAGTTCTAATAAACTGACGATGATAAAATAATGTCCAAAAAAAAAAAAAAATTATGCTCTCTACATTCGATGCCATCCCATTTTGTTTTCTATTTGAAAAAAAAAAAAAAAAAAAAAGAGAAAGATTACTATTAAAAAAATGATAGAACTAAAATATCAAATTCTCCTATCAGCATTTTGTTTTTCCTTGTTCTTATTTTTTTGTTAAATATTATACATCGTGTATTTTCGGAAATACGTAATATATCTATATATATTTACAATCTCCATTTATAATAATCATAAATAAAATTTCCGAGAAATTATTTATCGATCAGTACATAAACATATGGTATAATACAGGGTATCAAGTATATTCTACACGACAAACTCATTGTCAGTCGAGAATGTAGATCACCCCCTGTTCACTTTTACCACCAATTACAAGACACCCTGTACATAAAATAATAATTCTTTTACATATTTTCATATATAATCACCCCTTGCTCGCTTACATCATCAATTACAAGACACTCTGTATACATATATGTATATATATATATATATA